TAATAGAATCAGCTGTTTGGTGTTTACTTTGCTTGATATTATTAAATGAAGTAATTTTTATTTATTTCCTCAATTTCGTATGAAATATATCTAGGTCATCCGATAAGACCAGCTGATCTCACCCGCTTTATCAAAATGAATGCCAATTGTAAATTAAACATATGAAAACGTAAACAAACACATCGACATTATCATGGTAGAAGAATTCAGGTAGTCGCATCGATACAGCTGCTGGGACAATGAACTTTTAAACCATATTTAGGAATTGCAAATTTTGAATGAAAAATTATTCAAATTCGTTCAAATTATTGAAAAATGTTATGATCCGATTGGCATTGTAAATAAAAAGATATAAACATCAACTAATTTTTGAAAAAAAAAAAAAACATTTGCACATTTTTGACATATCAATGTTGCCAATCGTTGACCCATCTACATTGTATTTTTTTATTGTGAATAACACGACCTGTTTAAGTGGCTTTGAAATATATTAAGGTGAGACTACATAAAACGCTTTTTGGATTGGCTTAAGTCATCGACTGGCTTCTTCAAAAAAAAAAAAAAAAAAAAAATGGGCATGGGGCCAAAATCGAACTAAGTCAACCTAAAAATCCTTCTACGAAGAAGCCAGCCGAAGACTTTAGGTGGGAATACATAAAGCGCTTATTTGGCTGACTTAAGTCATCGGCTGCCTTCTTAGTAGAGGAATAAAAGAGTTTTAAGTTGACTTAGTTCGATTTTGGCCCTAGGCTCCTTTGTGTATTCCCGAGGAAGCCAGCCGATGACTTAAGCCAGCCAAATAAGCGCTTTATGCATTTCCACCTTTAAGCTAGTCAAAAAAAGTGTTTTATGTACTCTCACCTTTACTCTGCTAAATGAACACACGAAATAAATCTTACAGAACAAATTAACTTGTGCTAGTTTAACTTTAATATTAAATAGGATTACCACTGATATGCTTTCACAATTTTAAACTCAAATATTTAAAAACAAACAGACCTGAAAAGAGGTAGGACAAATGAGCCTATCTGCGAAAGAATAAACAAAAATATTTACAAAATAATCAGCTGATTGACTTTTAGACTTCATCGCTGCCTGTCATTTTCCCCCCAACTGATAGCCCTTTTGACATCCAAAAAACAATTACTTTGAACAGAGATAATTGATTCAATGACAAAGAAGTTATTTCTGAACATGTTCATTCCAGCAACAGGAACAACAACATTGATGGAGACGACAATAACTAACAAATAAATGGCGGCAACCATAAACACAACAAAGTAACACACACGTCAGCAGCAAAACATTACAGGATGGCCACAATACTCACGAGAGCAGAGAGTAAGCAACTTACGGAGTAAACCAAAAAAAAAAAAAATCCGCGTAGGATGTTAGTTTTTTTTTTTTTGATTTGTGTACATTCTCATACGTGTGTACTCGCACGTCGGAGCAGCAACACGGCAGAAGTAATGACGCGCAATGCATTCTTATAAGGCACGCAATCAGGCTATATTACAAAGTAAACGTCAAATATCGAACGATGGCGGCAACATGAAATTGTTTTGGTATAAAAAAACAAAAACAAAACAAAAGAACAAATGAAGACTAAATGGATGTATTTTTCTCTCTCTCTCTCTCTCTCTCTTACTGTGTGTTTCAATGCAAATGGAATAAACCATGTGCCGACGACAATTGTATGAATGAGTGTTTGTGCAAAAATATTAAGAAAAACAAAAATGTTGAAAACAAAGCCAGCAACTGACCAGACATAAAGAGGTAGCAAAAGATCCATCCGCATGGTTCTAGTTATATGTACTTGATAAATATACGTAAATATCTACATGTGTGTATTTTTTTTAAATAGCTATTTCATAGTTGATTGAGAGATGGAGAGAGAGAGAGAGCGAAAGTCAAACTCATAACTTGCTGATTAATATTGAAGAACATACATTACTACATTAAGGAGGCCCGTTTAAATAGGTTTTTTGGAAAAAGAGAATGAGCGACCATAAATCGATCTCCATCGATCTGCCTTTATTTTATATAAGCCTCCTCTTTGGAAAAAAAAAGTAATTTCGCAAACTTTCACCAAAATAATTGTCCATTAACAAAATATTTTTTTCACTCCGTGATTCATTGAGAAAACAATGCTAGCAGTTGTTTTTCCAGTCTACCGGGTTGGATATCTGCACCTTTATTTTGACGTTATGCCTGATTACAAATACAATGCAGAGAAGAAACGTGGATTTTACGTTGCAGAAAAAAAATATAAATAAAAAAAGGAAAATCAACACTTAGCAACGGATAGTGGGACATGCATTTAACGAACTACAAGGAAATTGATTTTAAAGTAACCAAATCCCAGCTTGGGCGCCATTAGAAAATCGGCTTATACGGGAGATATTCAATGCAAGAGAGAGTATTTTCCGGCTACCTTGTCTGAATATATCAGGGAACGAATACATCAAATCCTGTTACACTTTCCAGAGCCGATAGCTAGCTCAATTCGAGAAGTAAAACGCTGCAAGATAGCGTTTTACTGCTCGAATTGAGCTAGCGTTCTCCTGAAATGAATGGAAATGATTTTATTGGAACTCCTGTAAATCTTGTCTCGTTTTTTGTCTCGGGTTTTTACAAGTATTTCTCCGTACCCTTGTAAAACTATTAAATTCGCTCTATTTCGCATAGGCGTCTCTATTTCACCCGGCACTAAATGGATTCAACATTCTCTTGTAGAGCTATTGGAGACCTTGGGCGCCACCATGGATCAATGTTTTAGTGTCCCAATGTTCCCATTGAAGAAAACGAAATAAATTTCACGTATTGGTCAAATTGGGCGCCACTGTTCCGATATTGGCCCCGAAGAGAGAGCATCGTTCCCTTATGGAACACTAATAATCGTCAAGGTTCTTCGAGTAGATGTTTGAATTGATTGCTTTCTTTTATTCTTTGTTTTTTTTTTGGTCCTTCGAGTCAAATCTTAAGTATACCGAATCGATGCTTGAATAATGTCGTTGTTCCTTCCAGGTCAAAATCATAATTTGGGCAAAAAATATGGGTCAGTAAAGAAAGGTTTCAGGGTGAACAATTATAAATTATGGGTCGAAATTTAATTAAGTTACCCTCAAAGTTCTTTGTTTTTTTACGAAGAAGCCAGGCGATTACTTAAAGGTGGGAATACATAAAGCATTTATTTGGCTGGCTTCTTCGGAAATGAACAAAGGAGCCTAGGGTTAACATCGAACTAAGTCAACCTAAAACTTCCTTGTTCCTCTACGAAGAAGCTAGCCAAAAGAGCGATATATTCCCACCTTAAGCCAATAAAAAACCCTTTTTTATTCCCTCCACCGTTCTATTGAGAGTCATTCCGTTTGTAACTCCTCGAAATATTCATAATAGACCCTACAAAGTATATCTATTCTGGATCAGCGTAAAATTCTAAGACTATTTAGCAATGTCCGTTTGTAGGAAGATTAATTTCGTAAATGGGCCATGTCGGTCCACGTTTTCGTATATCCCCCATATAACGGTTCCTCTTGATATTCGGTATTTTGATGATTTTAGCGACATCATTCACCCGAATTATTTCAAATCTCGTATTCGAAGTTTGTAATGGGTGCTACAGCTCATGTCTAAAAATGTCGTATGCAGGTATACGTCTTCGTATAGGCCCCATATAACTGTACCTCCCTATGGTCGGTGTTTTGATGATTTTAGCGACATTATTCACCGGAATTGTTTCAAATTTCGTATTCGAAGTTTGTAATGGGTGCTACAGCTTATGCCTAAAAATTTCGTATGCAGGTCTATGTCTTCGTATAGCCCCCATATAACAGAACCTCGCGATATTCGGTATTTTGATGATTTTAGCGACATAATTCACCGGATTTGTTTGAAATTTGGTATTTGAAGATTTTAATGGGTACTAATGGCTTATTACGAAAAATGACTTAGGCAGGTCCATGTCTTCGTATAGACACGGTATAAAGATCATAATTTAAACGGTATTTTAATTGAAAATTTTCAAGTTCCTTTCAAATGGTGGAGGGTATTACAAGTTCGACCCGGCCAAACTTAGCTGCTTTTTTACTTTTTGTAAAAAAACATATTTTCCGCCAGATTTACAAAAACAAAGGAATTGTCAAATTTTGTTTACATTTGGTTTATTTTTCGTATTGTGACTTCAATTGCAAGTAGCATATTGACAGCTTATCTAACTTATCTAATGATCAGCTGTGATATATGGAGTATCATGTTAGGTACCCCATATATGTTGACAGCTTATCTAATGATCAGCTGTGATATATGGAGTACCATGTTAGGTACCCCATAATACATTTCCTATTATTCTAAAGTAATTGATATGGTAGTATTACCTTGTGGTAACCCTTTGCAATCATATGTTTACAATTTCTTCAAAATTATTCCTTTGACATCTCACTGTCAAATTGTATATTCATAAATCAAATCAGAGATGGGAACTTGTTCTCTCGTGCAGTAAAATTTGACAAATTACATTACAGATAAATGCAGAGCTGGATATTCTTGATTTGAAATGAGACTACCTTGAAGTTTAAAACTGATCGCCTGTCAGTTATCAATTATCGGCTTCCTACTGTACAACAACATAAGAAAATAACCAAAAAAAAAAAAAAAATAGAGAATCAAATTAAATTGTCACATCACCAAAAAAAAAAAACACAATGGTAGAGGTCGGAATTTTCTGAAGATAAAATTTTATATTTCTTTGCACGAATTTTTTTCACAATAAATTAAATTTTTCTTAAATCATCCACCACATGTGTTTTTATGTTTTCCTTCTTCTTCTTCTTCTGAATTTTCACATATAACAATTTCCTTTATTGTTTTTCTTTGCTCATTTTATTGTGGACACAATGGTCGGCGACATGTTATTTATTTTTAAATATTTATTTTTTTATTGTATTTTTATATCTTTTGGTGATTTCTTTGTTGGTTCATTCTGGTGGTTTGACACTCACTTTGTTGTTGTTTTTTTTTTAATAAATTTTCTTTGAAAATGATCCTCCACGATCGGAGGAAACAAAATTATCCACGACTCGAAATTGTACAGCAACAGCAGCAAGAAATCAAAAAAAAAAGGAAGCAACAACAACTAAACGAAAAGAAACGTTACAACTCAAAGAAAACGAAGAGACGTCCGCCGTATTCAGGCCGTTGTGCGCGACTAGCCGCAGCAATGGATTTTGTATTTCGTACCGACCAGCCGACCGACTGTGTGTGGTGATGTGATAACAATACCACAGCAAACACCCACACACATACAAGTGCACCCAACACACACACACGCACGCTCACACAATAATCAGTTGGAGCAAGAGCAAGAGGCCAATGCAAACAAGTTTCAGCAAAGACAACACACATGATGACCGTAATAAGAAGAGAGAGAGAAAACAACGAGCGTGAGAGAGAAAAAAGGTTACTGTTAGTCATATGTTAAGTAAACAGCATGAAATATGACAGATTGGGGTTGCCAAATTGCCAGGGATTTAAAATGCTTAAAAATGTAATTGGTGTCATAAACTACTACTACTACTCAACGAATATTTGATGAAAATGAGGGAATGAATTGTGAAATAACCCATTTTTATTATTTGAGGATAAAATGGGGCCAAACCTGATGGGATGAACTTTGAGGAATGTGACAAAGGCTGCACGTGATGCGTGTTAAATGCTAAATTGAGAGCGTGAAGAAAAATGTTCCTTCAAAAAAAAAAAAAAAAAAAAAAAAAAAAAAAAAAAAATTAAAAATAAAAAAAAGGAAATAAATAAATAAAAAGTAAATAAATAAAAAAAAAAAAATAAAATAAACTCGAGAGCGCGAAGAAAAATATTCCTTCAAAAAAAATTAAAAAATAATATAAACTAGAGAGCATGGAGAAAAATATTCCTTCAAAAAAAAAAAAAAGGAAATAAATATATAAAAAAATAAATAGACAAAAAGTAAATATATAAATAAAAAAACTCGAGAGCGTATATATATAATATTCTTTAAAAAAAATAAATAATCAATAAATAAAATGATCTCAAGAGCGAGAAGAAAAATATTCGTTCAAAAAAAAAAAAAATTAAAAAATAAATAATGATATTAAATAAATAAATAAATAAAATAAAATAAACTCGAGAGTCTGTAAAAATATTAAATATAGATGTAGTCTAAAAAATCAGCATTTGAAAAAAATCCCAAAAAAAAAAAATTATCTTAAACATCCACAAGCATTGGGATGAGTCTGCCTGAAAAATATTCATAAAAATCCACCAGTCTTCGAGGAAATCGGGCCTAAAATATTTCGAAGAATTTACTACTTTTTGAAGTAATCTGGCTTAACATAATCTTAAAAATCTGTCAGTCTTTGAAGAAGTCTAGAAGCCTAAAAATATTCCTGAAAGATCTGCGAATATTTGACAAGCCTGACTAAAAATCCGATAAAAATTCACAACCTTTTGAAACAGATTGCCTTTTTTTACTTCAAGGATTGTCATCTACCAAATCTTCTTAAATACCACATTTGAAAAAATTTCGTGGGTAAATGTGACTAGGATTGTCAAAATACCGAATATCGGTGGGTATTGTAATATGTGCGCTATATGAAAATGTGGACCTAAATATTCAAGTTCTGCCCCCAAAACTAGAATCCATTTTGACCTACAAATACCAATTTTTAGAGAAATCAGTGGATAAGTATGACAAAAAATCATCAAAATACCGAATATCGGGAGGTACCGATTTATGGGGTCTATACAAAAACGTGAACCTATACAGGTTGAGATGATAGAACTGCAACCAACTTCAGACTGCTGTCATTTCTAAGCCACTCGTCTGACAGCTGTTAAAATTATTCCAGTGACAGCTCATTATATTGTTTACAAGCGTGCAAAAGCATTTTGGTGAGAATTTTCCGGAAAAAAGTTATTCGCGATGGAATTCAAGCGTGATAGTGTGGTTTCTTTATATTTGGTTGGAAAACCACAATTGGCTATCGTTAGAGCACTCCAGCATTTAAATATGAATAAATCTTTTGTGTCTCGTACCATCATCGCTCGTTACCGTGATACTGGTAGCGTAGCCCGACGTCAAAGAAGGGGACGGAAGAAAACAGCAACATCAGTAGAAATGGTTCGAAAAGTAAAGAAGCGACTTGAACGAAACCCGTGTCGCACTGGCCGAAAAATGGCTCGTGAGTTGAACATATCGTAATATTCCATTCGCCAAATATTGAAAAAGTGGGCTTGGGGTAAAGCCGTTGAAATTCCAAAAAGTGCAAGAACTTACACCGCATCTGAGGGAAAGTAGACTCAAAAGAGCTTCGCTTGGCCGAAAGTGGTGAACTGCCGAATTTGGTTTTCTTCGATGAGGGAACATTTGTTGTCCAGTAGTTTGTAAACAAACAAAATGATCGTGTTTACTTGCCAAGGAAGTCAGCTGAAAATGTGCACCTTCGGTTGGCCACCAGAAAAAAAATTAAGCGGCCGGGCATAGTGATGGTGTGGGCCGCATTAAAAGCCGATGGTCGCTCCCCGCTTGTATTAATCGACTGTCGTATTAGAATAAATGCCGAATATTATCACGAAAATATTCTGGAGGGTGTATTAAAGCCTTGGGCACGCAAACATTTTGGCCGCAGACCTTGGACATTCCAACAGGTCTCAGCACCATCGCACTCAGCATGCGCCACCCAAGAATGTTTTCACAATTAGGTTCCTCGCTTTATTTCCAGCGCACAATGGCCACCAAAATCTCCGAATACCAATCCGTTGGACTATTGTGTCTGGAGTATTTTTGAGAGCAAGGTTGGCACTAAAAAATCCTAAAGTGTAGATGACCCCAAGCAAGCGCTTCGCCGGGAATGAGCCAAAATACCGCAAAGCAACATTCATGCAACGTGTGCGGGTTTCATTGGCCGTTCGAAGGCCATAATTCGTGACAAAGATGATCAATTCGAACAAATCTAAACTTATTCTAAAAATTTGAGGCTATTTCCGACATTTTTTTCTTTCATTCAATAAAATTTAAAAACACAGATGTAAAAATTATGTCATTTGACTTTGTTGCAGTTTTTTTTATCTCACCCTGTATATCTCATTTTCAATACCAACCATCCTAGACACAATACAAATTGTTCTGATAAATATTAAAGCTCTACGATTTAGAATTTTTAAACTGGTTATAAATATGTACACTTTATGGGGTCTCACCTTCAAAAGGGTATAAAAAGGGTTGCCATTAATGATTTGGAATTGAGACTAGCTCTACTTAGAATTCTTAAATACCCACAAACCTTCGAACAAATATTCCAGAAAATCCGAAGACTTAAGAAAAAACAATTCCCCAAAAAAAAAAAAAAAAAAAAAAAAAAAAACAAAAAACTTAAAGGCGAGTGTAATAGCATGTTTACATTAGAGCATTTCCCGGGTTTGTAAAACTTTTACCGGATTTAGTAAACAACGTGGAATCAAAAAAAAAATAAATAAATAAATAAAAAACAATTCCATTAAAAAAAAAACTCTAATGTAAACATACTATTAGCCTTCTTCATGAGAATTTATTTAACGTATATGCCATAGTAGAAAAATGTAGGTAGACGCATCGACACAACTGCTGGGACAATGAACTGTCAAATCAATTTTAGAATTGAAAATGTTAAATGAAAAATTATTTAAAACTATTATTTAAAACGCGAGTGATAATAACCTCCGAATGACGTCACATAAAACATATAAAAATCTACTTATATTTGAAAAAACACTTAATTTTTTTTTTGACATATCAAAAAGCGTTGATGCATCTGCCATAAAATTGACAATTTAAATCTGGTCTGGTATTACTTAATTCGGTAGTAGAATACAGGTAGTCGCATCAACACAACTGATGGGACAATGAACTGTCGAACCAATTTTCGAATTGACATTTTTGAATGAAAAGTTATTCAAATATGTAAAAATTGTGAAAAAATGCATATCATAACAACGTCCGATTGTCGTCGTGTAGGAAAACATATAAAATCTATTTATTTTAAAAATTTTCAAATTAATTTAAAGCGGCTAAAAAAAATTTGTGTTTTCGACCAATATTTGTTCATTTCTTTTAAATTCTCTGTTAAATTTAACATTCTCTGTTAAATCCCGTTAATGCTATAACAATGCATGAGAGATCTATCTCATTGACTTACTCTCTTCTTCATATACTTTCTCTCAATGTTGCTCCATTGTAATACATAAACAAATGAATAATACATATGAAGAGAATATCACTTCCAAACCATTTGATTTCTGATGACATTCTCAATTACTATGGCAACAATATTACCATTTCGTATTTATAACAAATCTTTTTAGTTGTAATTTATGAATGAATATATTTTGAATGTAGATTTTGAATATCTACTTTTTGTATATGTAGTATATGCAGCTATGTGTATAACTCATTAATATTATCGGCACGAATACCAACAGATTCGAATAATAACAAATTGAGAGCAACAATCAGATGTTTGTATTCATGGTACGATCGATCAGATGTTTTGATTTCTTTTTATGAGATGTCTGGCCATTTGAAGACAAAGAACGCAAAGAAGTTGCAGTTTAGAGTAGAATATTCTACAATTAATGCAATGCGAGACTTCTGAACTGGTATTGTTAATATTCTTGGGTAATTTTAAAATACGAGTTAAAAAGTATCAGCCGAGTTTGCCAACAGATGTATACCCCCCGTCTTGAGCTATGATTATTCAAATTGGTGATTGGCAATTTGACAATTCGTATTTGTCCTAAGACCGATAAAAAATACCATAACGTGGCAGATTTGGACTATATCGACTACTTCCCATACTTTGTATGAGATAAGTGCAAATTTTTGGAAAAGGTGGAAATATGCGTTGACGTAGCAGTTATAGCGGACCGAAGTATTCCATTTTCATACTTCATCTAATACAGTTAAAAACATTGGTATGGTATTTGAAGGAAATCGAACATTTATATCTAAATTTTATGCGAAATCATAAATTCCGAAAATTACATATTCATCTCCGATTTCAGGTTGAGAGAAGTATTTAGATATAGGAAGTTGTGAAGAATCGCCCAATTGTTTCGCAAGTTATGACAGATATAAGCATTGGAAATTATTACCCTTTGTAGGAGAGGTATCAGATGGGGTTGGCAGATATATATCATCTTCAGAA